AGTGCACTGTGCTGATAGCCCTAAAACTACATGGGAGAAAGATGCGTAGTGTCCTTCCTCCTGTTAAGACCTCGCCTCAGAAGCCGTCTCAGGACGGTTATTGCTTAAGAGCAATTAACATTTTAAGTTTATAAATTAGTATACTGTTTTTTAAACACTTAATCTCAAAGTATTCTGTGATTTATCTTGAAATAACTCGGATTTACAAAATCAGTGAAATAGGCACAGCCTGACACACGAGGCTCGCCACCTGTAAGAATGTAGGAAAATTACCACCTGTTGTCAAGTGCCTAGAGCAAACCTTCAGTACTTGCTGGTAGGTAGAGTTATTTGAATTGTGCATGGACTCCCCCTGAAAGTCAAGCTTGCTTTGATTTCTGTCTTTCTTATTTTTTTTTATTTTTTTTTTTTTAACGCAGAGACCCGGAAGACTCCGGGAGATAAGAGCCCTGCTGGTGTGCGGGAACACAGAACCCACCGCGCAGTCCCGAGGCCCACAGACTCCTTTCCGCTCCTCTCCTGCTGCGCGCGCAGCCCCTCGAGGCTGCGACCCGGCTCTTTAGAGGGATCTGCACCGGTGCGCGCGGGGCGAAGCGGGACCTGGCTCTTTAGAGGGCCCAGCACCGGTGCGCGCGGGGTGGAGAGGGGCCTGACTCCTTAGAGGGCCCAGCACCGGTGCGCACGGGGTGGAGCGGGAGCGGGCGCTGCGTGCCTGAGAAGGAAGTCCGCAGGCAATCCCTTCGCGCGGTCCAACGCTCAAGGCCGCGGAGGAGGCCAGACCATGCGATCCATGTTATCTGCCTATCGCCCATCGCCCGTTACATAAGGCCACAGTTACATAAGGCCGGGGCCCTATCTCCGCGGCATCACCTACCGCGGGGCCGTCGCGCCTGCTCCCACGCGCGGACGTGCAGGGGGAGGGGCGCCTGCCTGTCTCTCCCCGCCCCCCCTTGTTTATCATGGGGGAAGGGCGTTGACACCTCCCACCCCTCAACACTTAAACTTGCAGGGCTCCCTCAGCCTACAGTAACTGCCTGCTTCCCACCTACCGAGACCCTTTGGGCTGTAGCATTGACTCAGATAGTGGACGTTAAGAAGCTGCACTGCAATCCCAAAGTCACACGGCTCAAATCCACCAGCTGCTCCCGTGGGAGAAGCATGGTCAGTCTTCTCCCGTTTGATTTACTGTCTCCAAAAACCCTTTATATAGTCGATTATGAATTCGTTCCAACTCTACAGTACACAACTGATGGCCTAGTTATAAGATGCACAACAATCTCAAAGGTGGTGGTTGTTGTTATGTGGTTATGTGCCATCGAGTCGCCTGCGACTCATAGCGACCCTATGTACAAGAGCCTTAAACGCCGTTCTATCCTGTGCCAACATCGCCATCTCTGACACACTCATTCCCATCACCCCAATCACAGAATCGATCCATCTCATTGAGGGTTTTCCTCTTATGCGCCGTCCCTCTACTCTCCCAAACATGATGTCCCTTTCCAAGGACCAGTCCCTCCTTGCAACATGTCCAAAATATGTCAGACGAAGCGTCAGAATCCTTGACTCCGTGGAACATTCCGGCTTCACCTTCTCCAGGACAAACCTGTTTGTTCTCCTAACAGTCCATGGTATATTCAACACTCTTCTCCAGCACTACAGCTCAAAGGCATCAATTCTCTTTCTGTCATTCCTAGTCACTGTCCATCTCTAATGCATAGCATGCTAATGTGAAGACTATACCCCGGATCAGGCACACCTTAGTCTCCAGCCTGATATCGTTGCTCTTCAGTACTCTGGAGAGGTCCCTTACAGCTGACTTTCCCAATGCAATTTGTCTCCTGATTTCCTGGCTGCTGTTACCAGGAATGTTGACTGTGGAACCAAGTAAACTAAAACTGTTAATTATCTTGACCTCTTCACCATCCATACTGATGCTGCCAATGGCCCAGTGGTGAGAATCTTTGTTTTCTTGATGTTGAGCTTCAATCCATATTGAAGGCTGCAGTCCTTGATTTTCTGCAGCAAGTGCTTCAGGTCCTCCTCAGTTTCAGCAAGCAGGGTTGTGTCATCTGCATAATGCAGGTTGTTGATGACTCTTCCACCACCAGAAATGGGTGATTTACAGCCTATGAAACCCCCCTGGAGGATCATTTTAACTCGACATCACATAACAGTAACAATTATAGTAACAAAATCATTTTCTTTTCCCTAAGCCTAGTTTACCACTGGGCCAATTCGCAGCATCATTATGGATGGTGAAGAGATTGAGATAGTTAAATTTCAGTTTGCTTGGCTCCACAGTCAACACTCTTGGTACCAGCAGCCAGGAAATCAAGAGATGCATTGGGAAAGTCAGCTGTGAGGGACCTCTCCAGAGTACTGAAGAGCAACAACAACGTCAAGCTGGAGACTAAGGTGTACCTGATCCAGGCCATAGTCTTCACAATTGTGTGCTATGCGTCGGAGAGCTGGACAGTGACTAGGGATGATAGAAAGAGAATTGATGCCTTTAAGCTGTGGTGCTGGAGAAGAGTGTTGAATATACCATGGGCTGCCAGGAGAACAAACAGGTTTGTCCCGGAGAGGGTGAAGCCGGGTTGCTCCTTGGAGTCAAGGATTCTGAAGCTTCGTCTGACATACTTTGGGCATGTTGCAAGGAGGGATCAGTCTTTGGAGAGGGACATCATGTTTGTGAGGGTGGAGGGACAGTACAAGAGAGGAAGACCTTTGATGAGATGGATCGATTCAGTAATTGGGGTAATAGGAGTAGGTGTGTCAGAGACAGTGAGGTTGGCACAGGATAAAGCAGGGTTTAGGGCAAGCGATTCGCCGGCACATAACAACAACCACAAGCCTAGTTTAAGTGCCTTCAGTATACCTGGAAAGCTAAAATTGAACACTAGTTGTTTGAACCTTCCACCACGTCTGGTCTGCAGGAAGAAGGTAGACAGTCCCCTCCCATGTGATCTCCTGCCCCTGGAAACCTATTTGGAGGTTCAGCTGAGTCGGTTCTGTGTGTTAGGGACTTTGGGGGCCTAGTGGTTGGCAGTTGGTTCAAGTCCACCAGCTGCTTCAAGGTACAATTTTACAGTCTCTGAAAACCTGCTGACGGGCCAGCTATGGTTCTGATTGCACAGTGTGAGTGTGTGTGTGTGTGTGTGTGTGTGTGTGTGAGAGAGAGAGCAATGATGCCTCTGGTTAGCGTTGTCACTGGGACCAGTCACAGTGCCACTCCAGACCACTTTGTTTTCATTGCCGCAGATGTTTTTATAGTTGATGATTCTGTCACCTCTTCTGGTGCCTTAGCTACAGTACTGTGGTCATTAGAATTTATGAACTTTATCAATAATCTTTTTGAGAATGAATAGCGATTAAAGGAAAAGGAGGAAGATTAGAAGGCTTCTGAGTTATTAATAAAGTTGTAATTCAATGTAGAAAGATTTTATGAAGGAATATTAAAATTAATCAGTTTCAACGAGGTGTTGCTGGGTGCGACCCAGTAGCTCCGGCTCCTGCTGTCCCTCCGTCTGACAGAACGAGTCCCTGCCTGGTCCCGGGCCATCTCACAACCCCTGGTGCCCAGTGGAGCAGCCGCTAGGTTCCATCATTCTATCTCCCTGAGGGTCGAACTCTTTGACCTTCTACTTTACCAAGTATCACGTCTTTTTTCCGGAGACTGTCATTTACCATATTATTCTAAGATGAAAATTGATAACATTACTGAGAATTCTGCATGGTCTGGTCCTGGAGGAGGTAACACTATGAGTAACTGCCCTGGGTGACATGGAGCTGAGTGACGCTTACTGCCCACTGGGGAGAGGAGGACCTGGAGGAGGAGGAGGGCCTGGAGGAGGAGGAGGAGGCGCTGGGCTTGCAGGAGGAAGTGAGTGAGGGGCAGAGCTTGACATCAGCACCCAGGAGACAAAGGCCATAGCAGCCTCCATGGTGGGAGGTTACAGAGGATTTGTAGGCAAATGAAGGAAGCACAGGAAAAGGCTGAGGCAGCACCACCACACGTGTGTGGACCCTGGGAAAGGGGCTGGGAGCCAGGACCCTCACAGCTCTCATCCCACAGCACACAGGGATGGGAGAATGGGTGGGCAAAGAAAGAGGCAGTTCCATCCCACTAACAGGATGGTCCGTGGCTGAAGGTCCAGGCTGCCCATGATCAGATCATCATCAGTGACTCGGAAAAGCACAAGTCCAGGAGGAGACAAGAATCCTTCTGGGAATCTGAACTTCCCTACTTCTTCCCAAAGTAGTGCTGCTTCCCAGAGTTGTGCTGCTAACCCAACTGCCAAGACTTCCTGGCAGTTCAAATACACCAGTGATAGAGGGAGAAAGATGGCCAATCTCCTCCTGTGATATAGAAACTCAATAGAAGGTCAGCTGTGAGTTGGTCTGATTCGACTCTATTGGCAAGTAGAGCTATGGTGGCCTTAGAAGGGAACTCTATTCCTTTCATCTGTTTGAATTTTTATCATCCCTGTGACAGTTCAAGAAAAGAGTTTATCATAAAAATAAAGCCCTCAAATGCCCATCACTAGTAGACTCTGGTCACAGCACTCTGTGCCCAGCACTTCCGGTAACCCCAAGGAGTCGGCTGGGCAAATGCTCAGGGTGGTCCCTGGTCAGAATGGCTGGGGCTGGGGCTGGCACTGCTGGCAGCTGGCCCCCTCAGGGGCCGTTGACCCCCTCACCCCCTTGCAGTAAACCCCTTTTATATCTTAGAAACTGCCCCCTGATGAGGCTCTCCTCATCAAGTCCACAAGAAATCAAACTTTTTCCTCCAGAAAAAAGTGGTTTTTTTTATGCGACACTGGATTTTCCAGTGTCAATCAAGATGAGTAAAGATGTGGTTTATAGATAGGAGACCTGGGTGAGCGTCACCCCTTGGGTCTATAAAAGTATAAAAGCTGCCACCAGAGGCCAAAGCCACAGCCTCTCAGCCTAGGCCAGCCTGCCTGCCTGCTCCCACTGTTGCTCCACTCTAGCTCGGCCCCATGGCGCTCTGGTTGACTGTGGTCATTGCTCTCACCTGCCTCAGCGGCCTCGCCTCACCAGGCCCAGTGCATCGCACCAAGACCCTCTGGGAGCCCAAGGTCAACAAGGAGGACATTGCCCTTCAGGAGCTCATGAACGAGCTGATCAACATCACCAAGAACCAGAAGGTGAGTGCCTGCCAACCAGAGCCCAGCTCTGAGGGTGCTGGGCTAGCGTGACCTGGGACTAGCAGGGACTTGAGCCTGGGCTGCATATGTGTGAGGAAGATGCCCCGTGGACCAGGGGATGGGCCTTCCAGGAGGCAGGCAGGGCACCTGGGCTGAGGACAAAAGGCTGCCCAGAGCTGTGAAGGGGACGGGCAGAACCACCAGGCTCCTGCTTCCCTGGTCTGGCCCTGCTTCCACCTCTAGCCCCTAAACAGGCCTTCTGGAATACAGAAAAGCCAGCACTCTTCTAGAATCATTCAGCATTTGCCAGCTAGATTCTGGGGCAAGAGCGGGGTCATTGTTGCCATTCCTATGGCATATGAGTTCATTACTGTGGCCTTCCATGAAGGAGGTAACTCCAGTAACAGCTCTTAGTTTCTGAACAGCTGTCATGGTGCTGGGGCCTTACATCTCCCAGGCAGAGACAAAGGCCCCATTTCGCTGATTAAGGTTCAGTGAAGTACACTGACTTGCTTAAGGACGTATGGTCTGTCAAAGGCAGGGACCAGATTCAACTCAGGCCTAGTTGACCACAGTGCCCATGCCCACAACTGCTGTGTTCCTCAGCTCACAAGGCAGGATATTTGCACCCCAGACCCTGCCACCTCCCTCTGATGAGCCCCGGTCACACGCCTTCCTCCTAAAAGGTGCCCTCACTCAATTTCCTTTAATGAAGACCCCTGTAACTAGGCCTAGTGTCTTCTGTCACGCTGGCCAGGCTAGCTTTGCATACAGCTTACCCCTTGCTGGTTGTGGCACAGCTCAATTTTTATCTCTTAGTCCTAAGACTCAGTCTCCCCACAATGCAGAGCAGAAACAACACCCAGGAGGTGTGAGGGCCGCAGGACCTGCCTTGTTCCCTGTGCTTGGTGCCCGCACCGGCTCAGGCCCACATGGCCGCCAGCACTCTGTTTGCCGGCATCCTGCTCACTGTCTGTTTGCTCCACAGGAGCCTCTGTGCAATGGCAGCATGGTATGGAGTGTCAACTTTGCCAACTTTACCACCTATGCGGTAAGGACCTCAGGACACTTGGGAGTGGGTGGGGGACAGAGTCTGTAGACTTTGGATTTGTCTTCTCTGAGCCTCACTCACAGAACTGTGAGTGGCAGTCTAAGAGTACCAACTGCTTGCTCTCTGTCTTCATAATCCAGGCTCTTCCCACCACCCAGACCCCCTGCACCCATAACCCCACTGTGGGCAGTTGTCTTGAATCAAGGGCCTGGGCCAGACCCAGTAGGGCCTGACCTATTGGGGGGGTCTCTTCCAGCAGTACTGTGCCGCAGCGGAAGCCCTGGCCAACGTCTCTGAATGCAGCAGCAGCATCCAAAAGAGCTACAAGCAGCTGAACGGTCTCTGCAAGCAACACAGCCCCCCAGGCAATGTGAGTCCCCAGGCCCCCCATGCACCCTCTCCTGCCAGGCTCAGTCTCTTTCCCAGCCCTAGGGGTCACTCTGAAAGCTCTGGGAGGACCTGGCCCTGCACCTGAGGCGTGGGGTCACCTAAGGTTGGGACATTGTTGCCATGAGGACGTGGTCTTCAGGGTTTACAAAACCTGAGCTTAAGGGCTCCTGGCTCCCACCTGAGCCCATTCCTGTGATAGTGAGATGTACGGCTTCCCAGTTATCTGGAAAGCCCCTGGCACGGTGTCCTTGCCGCGGGTGCCCCACTAATATGCCGGCTTCTCTCTCCTACAGCAGGCTTCCAGCTTGCAAGTCCGAGACACCAAAATTGAACTGTCTGAATTCGTAAAGCAGCTGCTCGACCATTTAAGGATCATTTACCGAACTGGCTAAAGCATGAAGGGTCTCAGCATTGCTTGCAGAGAGAGACCCTAAGTTGCAAATTCATTTTACTGTCAGATGTCAAAAGTTGATAGGGGTGGGGTTGGGGGGGGTAGGGTTTCCTTAGTTTAGACCTGAGCCTGAGCTTTTTGCCTTCAGGCCCCCTTCCATGGTCCCCAGGACTCAGCCAGGTGGACGCCTTGCATCCGGGGGGCTCAGCTCAGTAGACAAGGCAGGAGCGGGGACAGACCTGGTCTCCACCCGCTTCCCCTCAGAGCGAACTGGATGATTACAGTGGGTGCTGCCTTAGCAGCCATACAACCAGAGAGAGATCCCCCTCACACGGGGGCCCTGGGGCAGACAGCAGCTCAGGCCTATTTCTTCTTGGTCTTATTTATTACTATGTGTTATTTAAACAATGTGTTTGTCATACTGGGGACAAGCAGGGACTGGTGCTGCCAGACCTTGGCGCTGAGGGCCCAAGACAGGGGGCTCCAGGGCTAAGGGCCAGATGACAAATACTGTGCACGACATTCTGCTACCTCACTGGCCCGGCAGCCAGCGGTCAGCCCCCAGCCAAGGAGTAATTTATTGTTTTCCCTTGTATTTAAAGCTAAGTATTAAAATATGTTATCAGAGAGTTAATATATATAGACAAGCAGCCTAGAAGGTTGCTGGGAGGGAGGTGTGGTTTGGGGGAGGGATCAATGACCAAGTTGTTTCATTGACTGTGTCAAAAGGGAAGCTGGAAATAAAAATGTGGACAAAGAAAAAAAGACTGATCACATTTGCTTTGGATCTGGGTTTGGGGGTACTGGTGTGTGAACTTAAGGCTGTGGGAGCCAGGCCCACTGGAGTAGTAGGGGAGTGAAAGATGAGATGTGGGTGCAAAGGAAGCAAGCCACGCATGGGGGAGGATGGCCTGGCGGGAGCCCATGTGCACCCTTGGTGGCCCCCATCTCCTACTCACCTCTTCACCTCCCACTGCACCCTGACTCCCAGAGAGAAGGGGGAAGCATGGCCATGCTGCTGGGGCTCAAGAAGGGCACCTGGAGCAGGAAACGACCTCAGAAGTCACCTCGTGACCACAGTTCTCGAGGAGCAGCCTGCTTGATCTGGCACCTCCCACACACTCCCTGTGGCTCCCTCCCTGGCCAGGAGGGAGATGAGGACTCTGGCTCAGAGAGGGCAGGAGACTCACTCAAAACACACAGCTAATAAAGAGCAAAGCCAGGATTCACTCCAACTCCAAAAGCCACATACCTACCCACTCTGCCTCTTTCTGTCCACAGGGTCTGTCCACATGATCTCCCTTCATAATACTGCCATCAACTTTTGACTGGACCCCTTTGTCCCCCACTGGCTGGGAGCTGGCTACATCCTGTCTGTGGAGCCCATTCAATTCTTATATCATCAGTGTCTCTCATCCTCAGTGCTCCCTCACCTCCTCAGTCAGCCAAGACCCATGAAGACCGTGTGACGACCCAGGCTGGAAGGGCAGGTGGAGGATGGAGGGTCAGGCTCCCAGGCTAGACCACTCTTCTGAGCAGGCTTGTTTGCTCCCTGGCCCGGCCAGCATCTGCAGTGCTGAAAACAGCAGGCTTGACTATGCCACAGCTAAGAAGCTGTGCACCTCGGCCATGCCGTCCACTGTGAATCCTTGGGAGAGGCCCAGGGCAGAACTGCTGCAAAGTGATGGGATTTTGGGGCAGGTTTCATTCACGCTAGGTCATCTAAGACCAACCCTCAAACTCTGAATGATGGCAGGTGTCTTCCTGAGGGAGGCCATAGGCTCTTGAGAGCATCCACAGCGCTCTAATACGTCATAGAAGCCTCCTTTGCTATGTTTGATTCAGACAAAGGGAGCATAGTGGGGACTTAGCCAGAAGGCTGGTGGTGACCTTGGGCCGAATGCTGCTGGACCTATTCTCTGACAGGAGGACTCCCTCCTCTCCTGTGAGAAGAAGGCAAGCGGGATGGGGCAGGAGCAGGGACACCCAGTCCAGGACCATCAAGAGAAGGCCTGGTTCTCTGAGACCCCCAAGGGTCATCACTCAAGGGCCAAGGGCCTGCTTAACCCCACTCCATTTGCTAAGGACACCTGCAGGCCACCTGAGATGAAGCTGACAGAGCACCACAGGCCTTCTGCAAGGTACAGCACTAGAAAGAACTCTTTAAAATAATGGAAATAGTCTCGTGACTGGAGATGGAGGCTCCACCTGGCAGGGCCTCACTTCCGGAGGAAGAAAAGCAACCAACTTCCTGGGATGTCGACGACTCTGAAGCCAGAGGTGGGGTGGGATCCAAAGATGGTGGGCAGACTTCCCATTCAGAGACTGTAGAATGTTCAGACCAGAAGGATATTTATGGATGTTTAATTTTTAAAAAAAATTTATTTTACAATTTTCTGTGTGTATACCATCAAATTGGATCTGACTGGCACAGGAGGAGATTGCCCCTCCTTCTCCAGCAGAGCATCTGGTGGATTTGAACTGCATGCCTCTGGGATTGCAGTGCAGCTTCTTGCCACCAGGCCACCAGAGCTCCCTGGATGTTTCATTTTTTAATGGAACCTAGAGATCCATCCTTCTGTAGGGCCACTTTTGGTTCCTGTTCTTTTCACCCCATCCAGGTACTCATCTGTCTGTCCAGAGAGATGTCACTTTCCACATTCCACACAAGATTCCCTCAAGAGCAAGGCTGGTGTGGAGGAGTGTCCTTTAGGATTTTCCCAGGATTCTTTCAGATGGTCCATGGGACCACAAAAACCCCAAACCCCAATGCCAGTCTTGCTGAGACGGGTGTCCTGCGTTGTACGGCAAGCTGCTGAACAAGAGGCTCTGCATCTCTAGTGGTTAAAATCCACCTGTCGCTCTGTGGAAGAGGGAGGGCAGTCTCCTTCTGGTAAGATTTACAGCCTAGTATTCACCAGTGAAAGTGGACAACTAGCTTGGGTTTGTTTGGTGATTGTAATTTCAGGCCTGTCACTCTTGTTACATTGTTTGTGCGAAAGGTTCTCCCTCTACTCCACATTCAACCTGAAGAGGAAAACTGAAATCCCTAAAGAAGCTGTGGTGTGCATTTGTGAATGTTAAGGAATAAAAATTGCTTGGGCTTACCTTAAAAAATCCCCACCCCATCGAATTGTTCATCTCGATGGAGGAGTGTGTGAAGGAAATGAGAAGGATCTTTTGTGGAAAACAATGTGATCAAACTTTGTAAATAAATCAGTATAAAATTTTAAAAAACCCAAAATGTTGTACAGTCTTAAAAACCCGATGGAGAGTTTCTGTGAGTCATAATGCCTTGGAGGCAGTGAGTTTTATGGAGAAACAAGCTCCAGTGACAAAGTGCCTATGGTATATTGTTGTTGTTGTGAGGTGGCATTGAGTATGACTCATAACAACCCTCTGAGCAACAGGTCTGAACCCTGTCCCGTCCTGCGCCGTCCTCACCATCTCTGACACACTGCCCATTGCTCAGTCACTGTATCAGTCGATCTGCTTGAGGGTCTGCCTCTCCTCCGCCGACCCTTTCCAAAAAAGATGTTCCTCTCCAAAGAATAGCCTCTCCTACCAACATGCCTCACTGTGTGAGACAAAGTTTCCCCATCCTTGCCTGTAAGGTATGGTGCTGCTGATCCAAAGGTTAGTGGTTTGAGTTCACCAGCCACTTCTTGGAAGAAAGATTTAGCGGTCTCGTTACATAAAGATTCTTCGTATTGTTTGCCCTCAAGCAGAAATCGACCATAGCAGACCCTCCACTGGGTTTTCATATGGAAGGAGATTGTCCATCCTTCTCCTGGGGAGCAGCTGGTGGATTCAAACTTGATGTCTTTGAGATTGCAAATCAGCTTCTTACTATTAGGTCAGCAGAGCTCCTTCCATAAAGATTGTTGTTGTTGTTGTTGTTAAGTGCCATCAAGTCGCCTGCAACTCATAGCGACCCTATGCACAACAGCCCTAAACCGTGCTCTTATCGTGTGCCAGTCTCACTGTCTCTGACATACCCATCCTGACTAGCCAGTCACTGAATCAATCCACCTCATAGAGGGTCTTCCTCTCTTGCACTGTCCCTCCACCCTCCCAAGCATGACGTCCCTCTCCAAGGACTGCTCCCTCCTTGCAACATGTCCAAAGTATGTCAGACGGAGCTTCAGTATTCTTGCCTCCAAGGAGCAGTCTGGTTTCACCCTCTCTAGGATAAAATTGGTGGAAGATCTATCAATAATATGCGTTATGCAGATGACACAACCCTGCTTGCTGAAACTGAGGAGGACCTGAAGCACTTGCTGCAGAGGGTCAAGGACTGCAGCCTCCAATATGGATTGAGGCTCAATGTCAAGAAGACAAAGATTCTCACCACTGGGCCAATTGGGGGCATCAGGATGGATGGTGAAGAGATTGAGATTATTCACAGCTTTAGTTTGCTTGGCTTCCACAGTTAACACTCTTGGCACCAGTAGCCAGGAAATTAAAAGGCATATTGCCATGGGAAAATCTGAAGAGCAATGGTGTCTCTCTGGAGACCAAGATACGTCTGATACAGGCCATGGTCTTCACAATCACTTGTTATGCATCAGAGAGTTGGACAATGACCAAGGAGGATAGAAGAATTGATGCCTTTGAGCTGTGGTGTTGGAGAAGAGTATTGAATGTACCATGGACTGCTAGGAAAACAAACAGATTCGTCCTGGAAAGGGTTAACCGGGTCACTCCTTGAAGGCAAGGATTCTGAGGCTCCATCTGACATACTTTGGACATGTTGTGAGGAGGGATCGGTCCTTGGAGAGGGACATCATGTTTGGGAGGGTGGAGGGACAGTGCAGGAGGGGAGGGCCCTCTATGAGGTGGATTGATTCAGTGACTGGGGTAATCGGGATGGGAGTGTCAGAGACGGTGTGATTGGCACAGGACAGAGCAGAGTTTAGGGCTGTTGTACATAGGGTTGCTATGAGTTGCAAGCGACTCAATGGCACATAATAATAATAACAACAACAACAACAACAACAG